AGATAGATAGATAGATAGATAGATAGATAGATAGATAGATAGATAGATAGATAGAAGGTGGAATCAAGGAGAGGCCATATAGCTGCCAAAGGAGACAGATGCTGGAAAGTTACTGGTAGGCCACAGCCTCATGTCAATACACAGATTAATAGAAATGGGTTAATTTAAGATATAAAAGCTAGCTAGGAATAACCCTAAGCTATTGGCCAAAACAGTGTTGTAATTTATACAGTTTCTGTGTGATTATTTGGGTCTGGGAGGCCAGGAAAGTAATATGCAGTCTCCACTTTCACTATAATAAATATTTCACAGTCCACTCTGCTTTTTGTTACTGCCCCATGCTGCTGCAAGTACTCACTACGTTTACAGCAGCCAAGTTAGTCAGTCAGTTAGTTGGTTAGTTAGTTGGTTAGTCAGTCAGCCAGTCAGTCAGTTAGTTTTAGGAGCTGTGACACTTTAAAAGCAAGGATACATTTGGTTGTTAGCTTCAAAGGCTGCTCACTTCATGGTGGTCAGGATCAAGAGAGGGAGCAAGAAAGGGGCCATGGACAAACCACTCACAAGAAACCTACTTCTACCATCAGAGCTCTAGCAGTGAACGTTTCTACCCCTTCTCAAAATTTCCATAGATCTTGAACCCATGAATGGATGAATGCACTGAGAACGTCAGAACCATTATAGTCTGGCCATCGCAATGGTTTGACCCACTTGCTGTTGACCAAGCCTCCAGTAGGCGAAACTTCTCAAATTCATCATATCCAATCCATGGTGTCTACACATTTATAAAAGTAGGACGCTGGGTCCCATCTGCAAGGTCAAGGACCATTATAGAAGAAGAGATGGGATAAATACAGCAGGAGCTGGAGGATGGGGTGGAGGAATGATGGTGCACACCTCTATTCCTAGTACTGGGGCAGCAGCAATAGGCAGCTACCTGGGGCTCACTGGACAGCCAGCCAATTCAGTGATCTTCAGGCAAGTGAGAGATTCTGTCTCTCAAAGCAAGATAGCAAGCTCCTGAGCAATGACATGCCTGTGCACACATGTGCACTTCCCCTACACACACAAAAGCATGGGAATATGGCACAAGAGCACTTGAGACCAAGTAGAATGAATGAAACTGTGTCGATGAAAGTGCCAGCTTTTAAATGTGATGTGCCAGAGTGTGTACTGTACCATGAACAAAATGAGGTCACATGTATTTGCCTGTGTGGAGTATAACATTATGAAAAACTATAAAGAAACCGAAGAGTTAGTTTGCAGCATGTCATAGTTAAGTCTTTGTCAACTTGACACAGACTTAGATACCTGGGAAGAGGGAATCTCACTTAAGGAATTGCCTTCACCAGATTGGGCATGTCAGTGGGTCCTTTTCTTGATTAATGTGGAAGGGTTCACAGTGGGCAGCGCCATCCCTGGGGCCAGTATTCCTGGGCCCTATAAGAAAGCAGGGCATGGAAGTCAGGTGGAGCAAGCCACTAGGCAGTATTCTTCCTTCCAGGGCTCCTGCTTCAGCTCTTGCCTTTTCCCAGGACATGAAACTACCTAGGGGAATAAAGGGGACTCTGAGCAGGAGGAAGTGTGCAAAAGGGGGAGGGGGAAGTATATGACGGATGTGTGTAGAGTATTTGCATATGCTTGTGAAAGCTGTCTGAAAGGAACATGCACAGTTACATCTTGCAAGGCAAGCAAATAAAAATTCAAACAGCAAAGTGGATGAAATCTCAGGAACACTGTACTGAGTGAAAGAAGCCAGATATGCATGACTCCACATCAAACCTCTAGAGTCTGCTTAGAAACAAAGATAAATCTTTGGATTTGCTTCTTTGCCACAGTGAACATCTTCATCAAGCCTTTCTGTGTTTTCTTTTGGGATATCCATCCCTGCTTCTCTAGTGGGCACGCATGTTTAAAATAAATATTATTTGACAGAGTGGGAGGAGTCCATGAGGCTCCACCTCCTCCTTAAACAACTATAGGCATTTAATGGTGGCTGGAGAATGGAATAAGCATTTTCTTCAGTGTTGTAGCCACCGGTAAGTTGCATGTACTTCTTCAGGTAACCCTCCACTCACGCTCTTGTTTGCAATTAAATTTATAGGATCATCAAAAAAAAAAAAAAAAAAGGAGGGGCGACTGGTTGGAAAGAGAAAGGGGTTAAGTGGGAGAGGACAAATAGGGATGATGAGGGAATATGGTCAAAATATATTATATATGTGTATGACAATGTTACAATGAACCCATCATGTATAATTAATATACAATCATAAAAAAATAGATGGGTGTTTGGTGGTGTGCTTCTCTATAAAATGGCGTTTTTAGGGGGTGCTGAGTATGCCGCAGCACACATGTGAGGGTGTCAGGACCATTTGTGGGAGTCAGTCCTCGCCTTCTACCATGTGGGGGCCCAGGGCCCAAACTTAGATTTGGCCGCAGCATCTTTGCTCCTGAGCCATCTTGCCAGTCTGAGCAGCGCTTCTGCTAAATGTTCTGGCTAAAATTTCTTCATACCAGACAGTGGGGGCTTTCTGCTGGTCCCAGTTCTCCTTACTCTTGCTTTGTCTCTCTGAGTGTAGTCACTAAGGCAAAGAGTGAGCTCAGTCCTGGGTCCGTTCTCTGGTCCTCATCTCTCACCTCTGAGTGTGCTAAAGAGACAGTGTCCTCTTCCTGTTCACACCTTAGTTTCTTGCATGGATGGCGCAATCTGAGCTCTGTCTTGGCATAAAATTAAAAATCCTCCTAATCCCTCCGCAAAACATCTCTTGTGGTTTCTCTTAAAGTAGCAATTCTCTTTGAGCTTTGACACCATTCTCCTGTGACTTCGTGCGTCAAGGCCTAGGAGCCTTTGCTTTCTTAGCAGCAACATTAACTTAGAAAAGACTGAAAAGAAAACAAGAGAAAAAGAATAAAGAAAGGAAGAAAAGAAGTCCAGGAATTTGGAAATGTATGCTCCCCAATTTCAAGGTGCTTTCATTTTACTTTTTAAAAAAAGTACACACACAATGAGTTTGGAGGCCATGATTTGTGTCAAAAGTACAGAATCTTTGGCTTGGTTTTGCTTTTTGTTTTATCAGGAAGAGAGAGAGAGAGAGAGAGAGAGAGAGAGAGAGAGAGAGAGAGAGAATGAATATGGAGGGTGCATGTGTCCCAGTGAACTCGTGAGGTCAGAGGACGGCCTCACCTCAGGTGTTTGTCCTCACTGTTCTTGGCTTGAGGCAGGGTCTCTGCTGCATACTGCTTTGCTTCACAAGCTAAAGGCCCCTCACTCACCCTTCCTGGCCTTCTCCAGCTTCCACCTCCCTTCTCCTGATAGGAAAAATGTGATTACAGACACATGCTGCTGGATCTGCTTTCCCTCTGTTGTGGGGATCTGAACTCAGGCCCTCACACTTGTTCAGCAAGCTCTTTACCAACCAAGCCTGAAGTGAGGTCTCAGTCTGAAGCCTATGGTGGCCTTATACTTACTATGTAGTCTAAGCTGTCTCTGAACTAACAACTCTCTTACTCAGACTGGTGCGTCCTAGAGGGATTAAAGGTGTGAGTCACCATGCCTGTCTCGAAAGTATAGACTCTTAAGGAACAATGATCAATATTGCATGAATAAAGTAGGTTTTCATATTATGTTAAACATTGTGGTGAAATTAAATAGAATCGTGAGTGTGGTGGCCATCAATGGATCAGGTAAATTTTAGGGAGGAATAGTTTGTTATATTTGAAGATCTGAGTGGCAGGTGGATGTGTGTTCATGCACTACCTTCTGTTCTTGCCCGAATGCATGGGCTAGTTCACAGTTTCTGTCTTTCTTTCAGGTAGGGTCTTGAACTTGTTCTGTAACCAAGGATGACCTTGAACTACTGGTCATCCTGCCTCTACCTCTGCCTTCTGGGATGATAGGCATGCATTATCATGCTAAGTTTATGTAGGCTGGGGATGGAACTGAAGGCCTCATGTATGCTAGTAAACACTCTGCTAAACTACAACCCTAGGCCTATTTCTCCCTCTCTCTCTCTCTCTCTCTCTCTCTCTCTCTCTCTCTCACACACACACACACACACAAAATCATCATTAAAATTTATTCCATTGTTTTGTTTGTTTGTATGTTTGTGATTGTACCTTACACTGTAGCCCATGATAGCCCCAAACTCATGCTCTTCTTTTCGCAGACTTCCGAGTGCTGGGATTACAAATGTGAGCCATCATGCCCAGCCAGCTGTGCTGGTGATTTTGTTACTGTTGTTTCTCTCTGTCCCTGTCTTTCTCCCCACCCCCTCCTTGAACTATTGATGTCTTACAAAAACAACAATAAAGCAATTTTGGAAGTGAAAGAAGACTTACACAGAATATGGAGCTGAGAGATACAGATTTTATTTAGCAGAACAGAAAGCAAAGGTTGCTATTACAGAAGTTACAAAAACTGAAGTGGGTTTCCTAAAACATCAATAGGGGAACTAAAAGTACTGAGCCATCTGTGGTGAGAGGGA